TTCAAGGTCTAGGTGCTTCGGATTAGTAGTAGTAGTAGTAGTAGTAGTAGTGGTAGTAGTGGTAGTAGTAGTCGTCGTAGTAGTAGTGGTAGTAGTAGTCGTCGTCGTAGTAGTAGTAGTAGTAGTAGCATTAGTCGTAGTAGTCGTAGTTGTTGTTGTGGTGGTGGTAGTAGTAGTTGTTGTTGTGGTGGTGGTGGTAGTAGTAGTAGTAGTAGTAGTAGTAGGAGTAGTACTAGTAGTAGTAGTAGTAGTAGTAGTAGTAGGAGTAGGAGTAGGAGTAGTAGTCGTCGTCGTCGTAGTAGTGGACGACATTCCAAGCTAAAGTTTTGTGGTCCAGGGCTGGCGATTTCCGGACTGAGTTGCTGGAGAGAAGGTGACTATGGTGACTTCAAGATTGAGAACTATGGAAGCGAGCAACGTGCAAGAACACGAACACGTGCGCCCACGATTAGTTCCACAGCGACCGGACCTTGATGTCCTTCTAGGGGTCTACCAATCAGCGGCCAACATCTTCGGTTCCTAAATCCGTACTCACCCGCACAGCTAACACCGCCCCAAGGAGACGTTCCAGATCGAGCCCTCGGCGATCTCAACGCTGCTCGAGGATCTGAAGGGCACGGTCAGATGCCCAGTGGTTGCATCTGCACATTATCTTTCCGTGTGTGTGTGTGCATATACGAATCTGTATGTATATGTATATATATATATAAACTAACACTTTATCACCTATACACACACATGCACACAAAGCCCATGCAAATGTATGTATGCATAGCAGGAAATGCTTATGTATCAGATAAAATGGAACATCTTATGATCTGACATAATGTGATGTCCTGTCCTCTCCTGTCATGTAATGTTGTGTAACGTAATGTACAGTAATGTAATGTGAAGGCATGCGATGCAATGTCGTGTATAAAGTCATGTCATGTGGCGGCTTGCAATGTGATGAAATGTAATAACGCATTGTAATGGTGTTTCGATGCGATGCGATGCACAGCAATGCATTGTAAGACTATTGCAATGTACTGCATCGCAAAGTATTGCGAGGTAACGTAATCTAACGTCGCATGCAATGGAATGCATCGCAACGTAATGAAACGTAATGTCATGTGGCGTACGGAACGGCAAGGCAGCGTACTGAAGCGTAAGGTAATGTCGTTTAATGTTGTGCAACGTGTTTGAAGCAATGCAGCTTACTGCAGTAATGTAATGTGATGTAATCGACCAGGCTGGACTAGACTAGAATGAAAGATTGCATGAGAAGGTCCAATGTGATGCAAGGAATTAGGACCCAGTTTCATTTTTGCAAGCACTACATGTGCATGTTCGGTCGCTCCAGGAATGCATATAGAGTTCCGTACGAACCCGAAGAAGAAGCCGAATGATTCGCGCTTGTGGAGCATACGTGAGAAGAGATTAACGGCGTTGAGGATCTTGGCCGGTTTGCGACAGCTTCCAGAGGATTTCTGTTAGATCTACTCTGGCAGGAGTCTTTGACTCGGAGTAGATGTGCAGTTCAAGTTGCTTCCAGTCGATTTCTACTGTTAATATTTCGCAACTCTTACAAGCCTGATGTTGAACCCAAAACTGCCTGGAGGTTGACTTCTTCCTCACCCAGGAGGAGAAGGTCTCCTACAATTGGGAAGGGTCCGGGGGTTGTCATGGAGTGGTAAAGGGGCTTGCCGAGAGGTGTTGAATCCTCAGACTGCAGCTCCCGAACCCCTGACGTGTCATTTCGCACATTGTGCGATGGAGGTCTTTTCGTATGGTCTGTGGTTTGTGGATGACTCGCTACACCGCGGAAAGCCTGCAGTCTTTGGTACAGCTTCCTGCTTTCAGTGAGTTTCGACCACCCTCACCGAAAAAGAGAACTCTGGTGCTGAGTGGTGCATGTTTATGAGAGTGTGGAAAGAAACGGTGAACTTGATGCTAGATCCGGTGCCACCTGTGCTGTGATCATCACGGTCAGTATACTGATGGCAACACTCATCAGGATTATGACGATAACGTCTTGACAGTAGTGCTTGAGGTGAGATGTCGACTGATGATGGTGATGATGATAACGATGAGGCGGGACAAGGATTTACATAAGAAGGAGGATCAAGACTACAGCGAAGCTACAGACAGCATTTAGCATCGTTGTGGTGACATCGCCGGTGATGGAAATTGTGGCTACCAGAGCCATACTCATGTTCATCAGCACCACCACCATCATCAGCGTCATCACCACGATCGTCATAACCTGCCGTCAGCGCAGAATGTGCAGAAGTGGCCATCTAACACTTCGAAGTTGCTTTAGATTGTGTGCTTGTACAGACGACTGCATAGCTGCATGGTTGTGGATGATTGGAAATGCATGGTCGGTTGTTGGAGCTCGTTTGTCGTTGCCATGGCCATCAGCAGCATCAGCGGTCAATACCACAAGCATAATTCGCGACCTGCCTGGAACGAGACATGTGCCATCAATGTCACGAGACGACTCCGCAGAGGTGAAGATCGAGGACGTGGAAAACTATGAGGAAGTTCTGCAGGAGGTTGAGCAACAGCTGCGCACCTCCGGCATGTTGTCGTTTTTACTGGTTGAGGTCAACTGCAGATTGGGCTTCAGAATCCATGTGTCCGGACCAACTACTGCAGCTAGCAATCCAAAATCGTAGCCTGTTTGGCTTCGGCGAGAAGAGGGAATCAACCACGCAGATAATTCGAGCAGCTGCTACGTCGCTCTGTTTGCTCGGGCTCTCTCGATACAGGCTGCAGAGCACACATGAGCCGCTGTCGCGCATCCATGTAGCTGAGCCCTGCACTGGATGCAGCTCAATTTAGATTGGCTCAGCCCCTCACAGGCAAATACCTCAAACGTGTCGGTTGGTTTTAAGCAGGAGAGACCCTGTAGAAGATAGCCAGGTGATCTGTGCGATCCGCACAAGGCCGTTGCCGGCTTGCTTGTGTTTCTTCCTGTACCTAATAATGATCCATGTGCAGAACTTGCCGCTGCTCGCCTTCCTGCCAGAAACTTATGCAGTGGATTGCCGACAATGTCGGCCTGTGGGCCACTCGCAAACTTGGGACACCTAGCGACAGCTTATTCCCTCCATGCACTTCATGATGTCATGATGTCACAATGCTGCAGATATCGGGCCTAACTTCAACCGCACTTCGATTTTGGTTTACCTTGTACCACGGCATAGTGGATGTCGTCCTAAGTTCATTTTGCATCATGTCGGAGATCGTTCTCCGGTACCCCGAATGGCACGGCCTTGCATCAAAACCTGCTCCGCTCTTGCTTGCTCTTCAATAGTGCTGTGCTGCCGTTCACGCTGCTCATGCTGCTGGCTGTTGCTGAGCAGGTCGCTGCGCAGGTTGGGCGCATGTCGGCCGAGTACTCATCCCCCTTTGAGTCGCCGGAGAAGGCCACACAGATGTGCCTGTGCAGACTGAATCCTCCTCACTGCTACGAAGCGTATTCGCAGCACAGTTTTTTTCCTTGCCACTTGCAGCCTTGCCCCTGCAAGCAATCCCAGCTGTGAGTCGATTAGTCTTGGTGTTTAAATACCGACACCACTAGCTTTCGAAACCCCAAGTTTCGGCCAGGTCCAGCTGGTTTTTCAGTCGAAGCGACACTCTGACCAGACTACGTAAGCCAATAGCCCACCCCGCGGCCCGCAGCGATTTGGCTGTCGTGCAGACTCGATTGCTATGTTTTCACTCACGGGTGTCATGCCTGTCGGTCTCAGTCTCGGCCGAAATGATTGCTCATGTGTGGCTAGCAGGTTTTGGTCGGGGTGACTTGTCTTCTGCTTGTGCCTCCTTGCACGGTGCTGCAGCATGACGGATACTCCGTGGCCTTCGATGAATGTCACAGCATGCCTTGCATGTTGTTCGCATGTACATGCTGACTCTCGTACTGAAAGCAATCAGGACACATGCCAAAATCAAAGCTACATGCATAGTTTGAAGGCAATCACAATTCGTTTGGCGTTCTTCTGCCTTGGACATAGTCACGTAGTCGGCAGGCCAGTCGCGATATCCATGTGAACTTCGCAAAGCGATCAGCTGTGATGCAGAATGTAGCATTTGTTTGCCCAAGGTTGATGTCATGATTTTTGGCACTGTCCGATGCTATTCCCTGTGCGGCATCTAGTTGGGAGTGCAAAGATGTGCATAGCATCGAACATCACGGTGAGTCCAGGCAGCAAAGAGAAAACAAGAAGAGTACAACCTGCAGCTGGTTGAGTACGAGATTACCGAAGGCCCCTCAAAGATCAGCCACTGCTTTGCAGCGAGCGCGATTTGCGGATTTGTCTTGCTGCAGTTTCATTGATCTTTCAAGGATGTGTCGCGGTAGTCAGTTGCCACGTGTCGTCACGAGGCGTTCAGGGACGCCTGCAGTGCTGCTTGGAATCCGGTGCACAAGAATCCCAAGAATAGAGTCAGCCAGTTGTCAATGCAGGTTTCATGCAGGTGTCTGGCAGGTTTTGTGACTTGTGAGAGGTATTCTTCTCCGAAATATCATTACTTTGAGGTGTACCTATATCTCATGGCCCGTGGGCGATTTCCTTCTTCTTCTTCTTCACATTGGACCTTGTTTCTGCAACAGCCTTCACCTTGGTCAAACTCTCGTCCTCGCGCCCTTGAGCATTTGCATCTCCTGCGAGGAAAAGGTGGCGTGAAATCGGGTGGCAAGAAGGTCAAGAAATCGTCTTACCGTGTTATCAAGGACCTCCAAGACGGGCATGAGTTTCCCCTACAGCTTCGATCCGACTGCCTTGTTGACCGAAAGCAGCCGGGCCTACATAATTCAGCCCGCGTGATAAGCGTGGATCATGTATCCATATAGTCAGTTGCGTATACGTGTGTATGTATGTGCTTGCACATGTACATGAGTACATGTTTGCAAAACATGTGCGGTGTTTATTCCGTAAGTGTGATCGGTGTTGTATAGTCATTTGCCTACACGTATATACATGGACAGAATCCTGCACTGGGTCCGATGTAGGTATGTGCAGTTATGTACACACCTATGTATATGCATAAGGAGAGAGTTTTGAAATAAATCTATCTTCACGACCGAACGTGACAAGTTTAAGTTGACGAGGGGCAGCCTGCAGAGTGGCCCTGATGAAGTCTCGGTGCATCCCCATGATGTGGTGGACAGGACGACTATCCTTTGATCTACCACTTGGACGTCGGTGCTATGTGCCGGGCTCGGACCGGTCAGGACACGAATCAAATCACTGCCGCTTTGTAGCGGGGACTGTACACATCTATCTGTACGCAGCAGGATCATGGCACCTGCCCAAGCACAGCGAGTTTTTTGTCTTAAGGCTTACTTTCTGGTCTGGACAAGGTATCCGAACATCATCCTGTCGAATCGGCTGCAGCCAATGGCCATCGCCGGAAGCTCAACCTCTTGCTTCGAGTTCAACTGCAGTCGTTGAGGAGTACATCACAGTTTCAGGTTGCCGTCGTTTAAAAAGGAGCTGGTTACAGATAGTGTTGGTGCATAAGGTTTGGCACGGCTATAATTCTGACATGATGCTGTTGTCGTTGTCGTTGTCTTTGTTGTTTGCCTGGCAGCAGTATTCGGGTGTTGGCTGCTCTCGCACAATCCTTTACTTGTCTGCACAGGTCACCAAGGAGTTCTGCAACTCCTGCAGCTACAATGCTCCTTCCAACAAGCGCGTGCACTCAGAAAAGAGGCTACAGGGCTGGCATCGCCATCGATTTAGAGGATGGATGGCTGAATCATAAGATCGAGACTCGGTGTGCCTCTACTTCAGAAAATATTTCACTCTGCAGATTACAGCTTGGCTGGAGTTCGTTCGCATCCCCGAAAGGTTGTCTATCCACATTGGTTATTCCTCTTCCAACATCTATTGCAGTTGCACTTGCTTCCGCACCAAGTGCTACTGGCTGTGAAGCATGGTCTCAAACCCTCGGGTGCAACCGTGTTTCGAACCGTACCAGCCGACCCCCAGAACTCAGCTTGAAGCCTGCCGAGTTGTCAGCGGTCGATGGACTGGAAGTGGCGTGGTGACCTCTACATGGCCAAGAGGCCGGGATGATGAGAGTTTGTTGCTTTCAGGGGGGTTGAGGGCCCAGCAGAAGAAACGGAAGAAACACTCAGCATCGCGATGCACGTGCTTCCTGCTTTGTATCTTGCTGATCCTTGCATTACTAGCGTCCAACCATTCCTGCCATAATCTCATTTCTACTTCGTACGAGTACCAGTGCTGCCGCTGCAACCACCACCAGCACTACGAGCACTACGAACCCCACTCCCCTCGCCGGATCCGCGAACCAAGCACAACTCGTCCAATGAAACTCCAGGGCCGATGTGCGTTCGATCGTCAACGAGATGGAGAGTGACAAGCGCCGGTACAACCATCAGGACGCGGCTGCTGGTGTCTTTAGGCCCCCCTGGGCAGGTAGAACGAGTGGAAGCGTGGACCCCTCAGCATCAGCCCCATGAGCCTGCGCTTATTGAAAACCCTAGGACAAGGAAACCGGGGAGACGCATCGAGTAAAGCGCCGCACCCGGGATTTTGGCAAGTCTTCGAAGTCTAATCTCAAGCACAGGACGTTGCCTAATCGCAGGTCTTGCAGCAGACTGACTCTGTAACCCTTGATTGCCAACTGCCAGTTTGTTTTTGAGGTGGAACGAGCTAAAAGAGGGGGAACAAGTCGCTGAGATCACGAAGGCCCCCATGTACGGCATCAAGCTGATTGCCTTGTCTTCGATGCGTCACCCTGAGGTCTTCGAGTTGTACTCGAGATTAGGAAAGTGGCCAGCTGGCGCTCATTTGCAACTGTCGTATGCCGCAATCCATACTTTCCCGAACGTCTCTTTCATCAGATCCGGTGTTCGAGGGCATGCACACAAGTCCTCTTGCCTCGTGTCGCGACATGCTGGGAGAAGGTCTACTTTAGAGTTTGCTTTTGCTTGGGAAGGCCTCTACTCCAGACAGGGAACTAGTAACTAGTAGCTACCGTCATTTATGGCAGTCAAGTTTCGATTGGGTGGGAGAGGAGCCGGCTGACCCGAATTGCCAATGCGAGATCTGATCTTGAAACTCGGCGACTCCCATTGCAGAGGCCGTGCGGCAATTCTCGCAGCGTGCCTACAAGCGCCTCAAAAGCGCTGTCTACGAGGACCCGGCCTCGTAGATGTAGAGGCAATTGCAGTAAGCTGTTTGGTGGCCTTCCCGCATGGCCGGTCCCATCGTCATCCTCTCGCTCGTCGTCCACCATCGTTTACCTGTATCCTGAAGCTCTTCCTAGCGTGACTTGCCAAAGCTGGAACCAGCCTACCAGCCTTCCAGCCTTCCAGTGTCAGGATAGAACGGACATCGTGTGCCAACGCGAGAATCCCTTCTACGTGAACACGGCGGGACCCTCATTGCCACGCTTTTCCGAGCCCAGAAACATCGGGGGCAGTTCAGCATGCTGGTCACCTCGCCGAATGGATGCGCAATGTCTGTGCTATCTGAGCTCGTCCAGGTCCTGAACTTCCGTGATCGTCGCTACATGTTCAAGCGCAAAGCCAGGGCCTGATTTGAGGTAGTTGCCCGGTTCGGGCCATTCGAGCTGGTGGGCCGTGGTCCGGCAGAGACATGAAGAGAGATGGAGTTGCACGAGCATCGGAGCCAGGGTCTAACCATTCACGGTGTGGAAGCTGGGCACAGAGCTCAAGGATCTGACGGCCCTCATTGGACGCCCGTGCCGAGCTAACATTGGTTTCTGAAGCACACTGCGGCCACCAAGACCAAAGAATGGAACAAGAAACTCGAGAAGGCTGAAGAGAGCCTGGGTCCCCAGTGTCGCTTGAGTTCGTCATGGATTGCAGCCCCTCGATGTTGGTTGGTGTCATACGGCTCCGTCTGTCGCCATCCAATTTCCTTTTCCCTTATCAGCATTGCTTTATCTTGCCCATCATGACCAAGTCCTGACTTCATGTGCATGCGTTGCGGTCAACCTGTGGAAACTCTGCCTTCAAGCAAGGTGGCAGAGATCGCTTTCCTGCCGTTTTCGCTCCGGCTCAGACGGTTCTTGCACTCAGGGCCCGCCGAAGCGTCGACGTGGAATTCAATCAAGACAAAGCAAATCAGCATCAGCGAAGTTGTTGTGTATGACGGAATACAGGGACATCAGGGGACCCCAGGCAGCGGGTTTTAGCTCAGATGTTCCATGTTTGCGTGCACAGGCCCTCAGCCCCTAAGCACTGCATAATGCATAGCCCTTCATGAATGGAGTTCGTGCGATGTGGCTTCCTGGGAGTTCCTTGGACCTCCCCTCCTCGGAGGCCACGGCCTTGGGGACTTGGGGACTTGGGGCTCAGAGGCTCAGCGCGGACAGCATCTCATTCCGCCGCTTTTCTGGACTGAGCCATAAGCTTGAACGCAACCTTTCCAATTTCGTAGGCTGCACTTTGTCCGGAGACAATCCGGCCGCAGCGGCCGACCGTGCGAGACTGAGCAGTTGATACACGTGTCAAACGCGCGAATCTGCGTGACTGTTGTTTGGGTCGTTTTCTCGTAAATGCAGCACCAGATGCGCTAAGGTGTATGCATATACAGCCTACCGTTTATATGTTGTTGGTCACTTCTGGTCCTGTCGCTTCTGCCATGCTATTGTTTACCAGTTTGGCCCGTCGGTTGCAAGAACAGGCTCTGAGGCGCCTAGTTAATAATCGCAGGTGCTTCCTATTTTGTGTTTGCGTGATGTACGTTTGTTGGCGTGTTTGTCCGTTTGTCCAAGTGGTTGTGTGTTTGTGTGGGGGTATTGCATGCGTAGTTTCTAGTCCACTCCTACTCGAAACTTATCGTCGTTGTCAGCATGGCAGTAGTAGCAGCAGCAGCACCAGCCACAGCACCTGCACCAGCACCAGCAGCAGGAGGAGGAGGAGTGCCTCGCAAGGGACACGCGGGAAGCAATGAGTTGTAAGTAGTAAGTGGGTAGGTAGGTAGGTAGGTAGGTAGGTAGGTAGGTAGGTGGGTGGGTGGGTGGGTGGGTAGGTAGGTAGGTAGGTAGGTAGGCAGGTGGAGCAGTCGTCGTAGCAGTAGCAGAGATCGGAAGAG